GAGAATCTTCTGAGGAGAAAAGAAAAGGACTTTACCAAAGCATAGGAGGACTTTACCCGTACATCAGACATTGTTCAAAGTCAATCTGTAACCAGGTCCATAGCTCCAAATTGCGAAAGGGAGACGAGGGCAGAGGTAAGGTATTAACTGTGACTCCAGTGGTAAAGGCCACCCAAGCACGTTTACCTTCTCAACATTCTCTATCCTACCCGCATCCAAGCCTGGCCAGAGTCTACACAGGGTGAAGAGGGGACAGTCAGAGATGGCATTCGAGGAAAGAGAGTGGACGTGACTCATCTGACCCTCCTCACAAAGCCCTCTACATTTATTAATAGAAGTTAATCTTTCAGGAACACAATCAAATGCCAATATCTGTATTTGCATATCCAATGTCACATCTCCCTTCTGGGGCTGTGTGGTGTTAACTCTTTCACTGCTGAAGGAAAAAGACTTAGCAGTGATATGACCAAAGCCATACAGAAAGCGAGGTTTCATAAAACCAATGCTAAATTCAGATAATTTTTGGTCCCCTTCCCTGCCAGCCTTCACCACATATGGTTCCTGAGGCATCCACAGAGAGGCCTGTGTAGCCCATGCCCTGTGTCAGGGTGAGGATTCCCCACACACATATTAGCCAGGATGAACTACTCAGTTTATGGTTTATGGGAAAATGAGAGAGGGGCTCTTGTTGCAAAAATGTTAAAAGTTTTGTTGGGTCTAATGATTAATGCCTATAACCCCTGTATTCTGAAGGCTGAGGCAGGCAGATCACAGTAAGCTCAAGCCTATATAGTATGTTCCATCTGGGCCAGCCTGGGCTATACACTAAAAATATAATACCTAACATAGCAAAATCCTGATTGAAAAGTAACAGAAGGGGCTGGAGAGATGGCTCAGAGGTTAAGAGCACTGAGTGCTCTTCCAGAGGTCCTGAGTTCAATTCCCAGCAACCACATGGTGGCTCACAACCATCCTTTATGAGATCTAGTGCCCTCTTCTGGTGTGCAGATATACATGGAAGCAGAATGTTGTATACATAATAAATAAATAAAATAAAATAAAAAGAAAAGAAAAAAAGAAAAGTAACAGAAAAGGGTTAGCTAGATGGCTCATTAGGTAAAGATACCTGCCACCAAGCCCGATGATCCGTGTGGCGTCTGGAACGTACATGGTTGAGGGAGAGAGCTGACATCATCCATAGGCTGTCTTCTGACCTCCACCTGTACCCCTTTGGCACAAACACCCAAACTCAGACAACACACACACACACACACAATAATAATAATAAAATATATAAATAAATAAAAGCTGGGGGGCTGGTAAGATGGCTCAGCAGGAAAAGGCACTTGCTGCCAAGCTTGATGACCTGAGTTCAGTCCTCTCTCAAGAACACACATGCTAAAAGAGAACTGACTCCCACAGGTTGTCCTGCCCCCACACACATCATTGTACAATGCTCAAGCACACACACTAAATATAACTTATTAATTTTTTAAAATAACAAAAAAGCTGGGTATGATGACACATACCTGCAATCCCAGCATGAGGGATTCCGGCAAGAAGATAAGGAATTCAAGACCAGCCTCAATCATTCTTGGCTACATAAGACCCTATCTTGGTAGCTCATGCCTTTAAAACTCAGCACTTAGGAGAAAGAGAGAGAGGCAGGCAAATTTCTGTGGGTTCAAGGTCATCCCAGTCTACAGAGTGAGTTCCAGGACAAGGCTACATACATAGTATGACCCTGTCTCAGAAAACAAAATAGAAAATCAAAAAACAAACAAATGAAAAACAACTATCTCACTGGGTGATGGTGGTGTACTCCTTAATCCCAACACTTGAGTGGCAGAGGCAGGTGGATCTCTGTGAGTTCAAGGCCAGCCTGGTCTACAAGAGCTAGTTTCAAGATAGCCTCCAAAACCACAGAGAAACCCTGTCTTGAAAAACCAAAAAAAAAAAAAAAAAAAGATAGAAAAATCAAACCAAACTAAACAAAATAACCAACCCAAAACAAACAAAAACCAACTATCTCAAAGGGGTTAAAATAAAAATAGCAGAACATTAAATTGAACATGGAACCTTTCTTTCTAAGCAGTCCACTCTATATTTACTCCATGCCTACATCTCTTTTCCTATTTGGCCTAGGCTAGAGCTCCAGTGCTAACCCAGGCAGTCAGGGGGATCCAGGGGCCCATTTAATTGGCAGGAGCTGGGCCTGGGATCAGCACCTGCTCCCCTCTGTTTACCCTAGTCCCTCTCCCCCCTGGGGCTACCTACTTCTAGGTTGTTGTGCCCATGGCCAGGCTGGGATACAGTGGCACAGGCCAGGCTGGGAGCCCACAGGCAGCACGGCTCTCCATCTGGGCAGAAGCTTCATGGCTGTCTTGAATGCAGCTCCCTTTCCAGCTCTAGCCTTTTCCTCTGCTGTGGGTCCGTCCACTCCTCTCTCCTGGTTCCTGCTCTGAGGTTCTCAAAGTGGTCTGACCTGTTGGGCCTCTGCAGCTCCACCCAGTCAGTGCTCTGCAGGTGGCAGAAAGGGAGCCCCTACCCCCTCCCCTTCTTCAATCATTTCTCAAGTCAGCCCAAACCTCACCAGGACATGTGCATTACAAGGCTTGAAAATGTGTCCAGTGCATGGGCCATGACATTAGCACTCCAACAGTGGTAAGTCTTTAAAATACTGTTAGGTAGTGTAACCTTAGACAGCAAGATGGACACCTCCCGTTGTCACTTTGGAATACTAGGGGATAAAAATCAGTTTTGTCACTTACTGCTCCTTAAGGCTACTGCTTAAGAATAGAATACCTCTGGCCTGGGGTGGAGACATGACATTCTGATCTGCTCCAAAGATTAAAACATTACCTATTGTTTCTTCTCAAGGCTAGCTGGCATGGTGACATATTCCTTAAATTCCAGCACACGGGAAGCAGCAATGTTTACATAGTGAGTTTCAGGCTAGCCAAGAATAGACCCTGTGCGATGGCTTTTCTTGATGGTCAACTTGATTACACCTAGAATTAACTAAAACCCAAGTGGCTAGGTATACCTGTGAGGGATTTTTTATCTTTCTTTTCTTTTTTTTTTTAATGTGTGTTAGTGTTTGGCCTGCACGTATGTCTGTGTGAGGGTGTCAGATCCTCTGGAACTGGAGTTACAGACAGTTATGAGCTGCCTTGTGGGTTCTGGGAATTGAACCCAGGTCCTCTGGAAGAGCAGCCAATGCTCTTAACCACTGAGCCATCGCTTCAGCCCCGGGCTTTTTCTTAATTACATCATTTGAAGGGGGAAGACCCACCTTTCTTCTGAGCCACACCTTCTCTTAGCAGCCTATGTAGAGGACATGGAGGAAGAAAGCTTTGCTCTTTGCCTGCTTGTTTTTGCTCTCACCAGCAAGCCCATTCCTTCACTGGCATTAGAACTTTCTTCTTTGAAATTCTGGCAGATACTGAAGACCAGCTGAGACATCCATCTACCTGAACAACTACTGGATTCTTGGACTTTTCTTTGGTAGACAGTCATTGTTGGACTAGCTGGGCCACAACCTGCAAGGCATTTTAATATGTCCTGTCTAGATAGACAGACAGAAAGACAGATAGATATTCATTGTATAAGCACTCTTCCTATAGAGATCCTGATTAATACACCCTGTGTGGTGGTTTGAATGACAATGGCGCCCATAGGCACATATGTTTGGATGCTTAGTGGCCCGGGAATGGAACTGTTTGGGAAGGATTAGGGTGTGTGGCTTGTTGGATAATGTGAGTCATTGGGGGTGTGCTTTAAGGTTTCTCAAACCTTACCCGGTTTCTCTCTCTTTCCTCTCTCTCCTCTCTCTGGTGGTTTGAATATGAATGGCTTCCCCTAGGCTCATATATTTGAATGTTCAGCCACCAGGCTAAAAAGGTGTGGCTTTGGGTATCAGTTAGGGGCCCTGGGCAGTCTATGGGGCCTCTGGCAGTGGAACCAGTATCTATCAATAGTTCATGAATGGGCTTTAGGAGCCCATTCCCTATGGAGGGATACTCTCTCAACCTAGATACACAGGGGAGGGCCTCGGTCCTGCCCCAAATGATGTGACAGACATTGATGATCCCCCATGGGAGGCCTCACCATCCCTGGGAAGTGGATGGGGGGGATTTGTGGGGAGAATGGGAGGATGGGAGGGAGAGGGAACAGATTGGTATGTAAAATAAGACAGTTTTTAATTTAAATAAAAATTAATTTTAAAAAGGTGTGGCTTTGTTGGGAGAGGTGTGTCAGTGGGGCAGGCTTTGAGTCTTTACAAGCCCGCAGGATGTAAAGCTCTCAGCACTACTCTAGTGTCATGTCTGTCTGCTTCCCGCCATGATGATGATGATGATGATGGATTACAACTGTCTTAGTTGGGGTTACTATTGCTGTGACAGAACACCATGACCAAAGGAAAGTTGGGGAGAAAAGGGTTTATATGGCTTACACTGTTCATTGCTGTTCATCACTGAAGGAAGTCAGAACAGGAACTCAAACAGGGCAGGATCCCAGAGGCAGGAGCTGATGCAGAGTCCATGGATGGGAGCTGCTTACTGGCTTGCTTACCATGGCTTGCTCAGCCCACGTTCTTACAGAACCCAGGACCAGTAGCCCAGAGATGGCACCACCCACCATAGTCTGGGCCCTTCTGCATTGATCACTGACTGAGAAAATGCCTTACACCTGGATCTCATGGAGGCATTTCCTCAACTGAGACTCCTTCCTCTCTGCTGACTCCAGTTTGTGTCAAGTTGACACACAAAACCAGCCAGGACACAGACTAACCCTCTGAAACCATAAGCAAGCCCCAATGAAATGATTTCTTTTATAAGAGTTTCCTTGGGGGGAAAAGGATGGGCATGGTGACGCATACCTTTAATTACAGCACTTAGGAGGCAGAGGCAGAGGCAGAGGCAGGTGGATCTCTGTAAATCGAGTTTCTGTCCTGCCTGGTCCTACCACCCTTCGGCCTCAAACAAACACACTGAGGCTACATTAATTAGAACTGGTCAATGGCTCAAGCTTCTTACTAGCTAGCTCTCTCTTAATTATTAACCCATTT